TTTTATTGAGGGGTGGATGATTGAATTTTCAAAAAATTTGCCTCCAAAAAAATTCGATTTTAATTACATTCGCAAAATTTTGTTTGTTCTTGTTTTACAATGGATACATTTACTAGGAGAAAATATTCACAATTGAAAATAGAAGATGAGTGCGAAGAGTTATGCTTGGACATCAAAACATAAAATGCTTAAGAAATATATTTAAAGTGGTATTTAAAATAATTAAGAAAAACTGCAATGCTTAAGAAATATATTTAAAGTGGTATTTAAAATAATTAAGAAAAACTGAAAATACGAGGAAAATTAAATTTGTTAGTAGATGTATTCAGAAAATTGAAAATTTGGCCAGATAATTTAAACCCTGATGACTTATAACAAACAAAAATGCTTTTATTTTCAGAAAAGTGATGGTGTTTATCAAAATGTTCGAAAATTAAGAAAATTATGAGTTTTATAAACTACTTAATAGTTTTAGTGTTCACCTCAACATATGGTATTCAGGTAAATTAGTTAATTATAGAGTGTTCTGTCCGATACACGACGATACAGTAAAGAGAATCAATTAACTGATTTAAACTTTTCCCCCGAAATATAACGATATCTTGTTCATTGCTTAGGGTCACTTGAAATTATGTGTACAGTCCCTTTCTTCAATAAGTTTGAAATGAATACTGTTTGTTACTAAATCTTCACAGATTGCTTGAAATATTTTTAACTCCCAGATATAAAAAAGCAGGCTTATCACAGTTTTTTCCAAAATTTTAAAAAACGTTTCCTAAATAAATCTAAAACATGTTTTACATCTATTAAAGGTTCATTAGTAGGTATATATAACCTCTTTCATAAAATGTTTATGTAGATATCTACAAATATATAATTCTGTCAACTAGAGGTCGTAACCCACTTATAATCTACAGTAAACTATGAACTTCTAAGACATCGAAACAATTCATGAAATGTCGTCTTGGCAATATTTCAATAGGGTTTACCTTTGAAAATCGTATTACAAGGATATTATTCCTGAGCCTCATTAACTTTAAAAGTAAAGATTAGGTATGAAACAGTTTTAAAGAGCTCCATAAAAAATAAATATCTGCGGTATTCTATTATCAGTATAGGGTTAGAAAACGATATTTTATAAATTCGTTTGATGTCTCTGAAGTTTAGGGTTAGACTGTTTATTTCAAACCATTAATTCAGCTAATTCAAAGTCTTAAATATCAAAGGTTATTTCAATTTGAAAATTAGAGTTTGAGCCAATTATCTGTTCTGTTATAAAGTATGCTTTTAGTTGTAAGAACTAAGACTGCGACTGTACTGAATAAATAAAGATCTGTTGACACAGGAGTGGAAAGTGAGACCTAGAGATGATGAAGTAAACCCTGGAGATAATACAACCCTCTTTTGTGGGTTTAGAAATATAGCCGGGGACTGCAGGTATAAACTACTATACAGTATACACACAGATTCAGCCTGCTCATATAAAGTCTCATCAGTTGTTTAAGACAGAGTCGATTTTGAAGTGTCGCAACAGCTTTGGCTTTGATTTTACCGCTTTTACTTGCTTATGCTTTTCTGTAGCACTTTGCATGGATTGTTAGATTTGGGTTTAAAAAAGTAATTGGCAAAATTCTCATCAATTTTTGCTTGAGAGCTTGCAACCTTTAAATCACAGTGTATAGAGAAGCAGAAAACACTGAAATATATATATACATATTTCAGTTTTTAAACTTCACATTTTTATAAAAAGAAGACATACATAGTAAATATATACGTATATAGCAGGGGACTGCAGGTAACCCTGAATAAATTATAAATAAAGTATTTTTGCATTTCTTTAAATAAATGTTTTGATTTCTTGAATAAAAAATAAACTAGAAACAATGGACAAATAGTAAACTAAACAATGGACAAATAGTAAACTAAACAATGGACAAATAGTAAACTAAACAGCTGGATTAAACAAAACTTATACATTGTATACATTCTTTATAGAAAACATCTATCTAGCTATTATCTAATTATCTATCTTTTTTTAAGGTGGGAGAAGGATGGAACGCCTGTAGGAATGTTCCCTGGAAAGTATAGCTGGGCTGGGAACCTGACTGATGGCGACTGTTCCATAAATATTTATCACGTGGAACGTGAATTTGATCATGGTTTGTTGTTTTTAACTGTTAGGGTTATACACTGATAAATTTAAATGATATATATAATGATATAATGATAAAGCAACGTATCTAGAGCTCGGCGTGTTTCTTTTTTTTAATTGTTCCATCCATGTTCCGTTTCGTTCTGCGTGTTCTTGATCGAGAAGAGTACCATTACACAAGAGTGGGTGGGGGTGAAAACACCTTGCAATCTGTAATAGACCTAGAGATGAGCATTGTTTTCAGAGCAATGAAAAAATTATCGTTTTTTAAAAATGAATGAAGAAAAGCAAAAAAGAATCATTTAAAATCGTTCAAACGAACCTAAACAAAGGTGTGGTAACAGTTCGCCTAATAACGTTTCACCCAATCACGTTTCACCCAATTTTAGGTAAAATAACGTTTCACCCAATAACGTTTCCCCCAATTCACGTTTCACCCAATACTACGTTTCACCCAATTTGTTTTTTCCTTCTAAAACACACATTGCCGATGAGTTATGATTTCCGATCATAACTCAAAAACCCCTTGGACCGATTTGCCTCAAATTTTGATTGGGAAAAACAAGAGAATTGTGGGAATTTTTTTTTTTTAGATTGGTTAAGAAATCTAATCTGAGTGGGTCGACTCATATATACAAATATATTAATGCAAATCGTTCAAATCCGAAACTTTTTTGTTCGAAATCTGCAAAACCACATTTTATCTGACCATGGCGGCACAGTTACATGTAGCTAAGTACATCTCCTCAAAAAGGGGGAAGCCCATTCTTATTGATCAAAATAGCCATGAATATCGACTTATGCATAAATTGATCAGTAATTAGAATACCTGTAACCTTTTAATAAATTAAAAGATATAATTTTTAAAAAGTCAAAATTAATTTTGCAAGATTTTTTATTGAGGGGGGGGGTGAAATTCTTAAGTTAGTGTAGTTTGGGTGAAACATGAATTGGGTGAAATGTATTTTGGGTGAAACGTGAATTGGGTGAAACGTTATTTTGGGTGAAACATTATTTTGGGTGAAACGTTATTGGGTGAAATGTTTTGGGTGAAACGTGATTGGGTAAAACGTTATTGGGCGAACTGTTACCACACCTAAACAAATTTTTTTTTACTAAACAAACAAATTTTCCAAAAAATTTGGAAAAACGATTGTTTGTTTTTTACTGAACAAACAATGTTTTGGAACAAGATTTTTAAAAAATGATAGTTTTTTTACTGAATAAAGGATTTTTTTCAAACTAAATTTTAAAAACGTTTGTTTTTTACTGAACTACCAATTTTATTGAACGAACGATTTTACTGAACGATCTTTCATTGAGAAAACAAATTAAATAGATAAAAATGGAACGATAATTTTGCGAACGAACAAAACAATTTTTGGAATGAATGGGTCGTTCACAAACGAACGAAGATAAATCAGTTGTGCCCATCTATATATTAGACCAAAAGGAAAATTTTCTTTGGCACAAACGCAAATTTTCTATTCTCTATATTTGTTCAACCAGATGGTGTAAACCTTAATATTTCAAACATAGATTATTTGATCCAACAGAATTTATAGTTTAAACTATCTAAGGTCTTCCCCATTGAGTTGCAAAGATATAGGGATTAGAAACAATCTTTTGGTAAATGCTTAATTTCTTTAGATTTAGAGAAGTTCCTGATAGAAATATTCCTGACCGTTTTTTTTTCAAAAAATTTCTCTTCGTTAATTTATAGATCGTTCCCATATTCTTAAGAACGCAGTCTATTTCTTTGCGTTTGTTCTTTAAGAACGCATTCTATTCCTATGCGTTCGTTCTTTTTCGGAACGATGGCAAAATTCCTTTCATTCCTGTGAAATTGTCTCATAGATAGATAAATATATTTCGGATTAAATCACACAAATACATTTTAAATTTTATAATTCATAAATAAATGATTGCTATAGCCAAAGCCAAAGGCTACAGCCTAATCTATATTTAAATTGTTTTTGCAATTTGAAAATTGATATTTTCCAATTGTGATTTTTATTTATAAGCCAGAGTGAAACTATTTCATCGTTAAGTCTTTTTTGTACCAGCAAAAAAAATACAAAAATAAAACTCATTCAGTAATTACTGACTTAAAAAATCAGATGGGGAGGTCGATTTTTCAATTTTTTTGATATGGGTATCAAAAGATGCGCAGCTTAAACTGGGAAATACCGTTCATTTGTCTATTTTTCGATATTTAAAACTTGTTTTCTTTAAAGGGACAAAACGGCTATGTAAGGTAGTTGAACCGAGTATGCAGTGTTGTGGACAAATTCTTTAGGATTCATTTGAGACATATAAAACTTTCTAAAGATCTGTAAATCCTGAGTTGGATCGCAAAGTCGACGCTCTAAATCGTACTTTTGGGTGGATACGTTTTCAGAATACTCAGTTCAACTACCTTACATAGCCGGTCTGTAGCTTTAAAGCTAAATATATAGTATTTTTGATACTCGAAAAATATCTTACAAAACCCACGGTATTTCCTGATCATTTGCTCAATATTCAAGGGATAAAGAATTCAACATTTCTCAACTCAGTGTTTCAAGGCGGCCATTTTGATATTCATCTTCATTCATTTTCATTAGTAATTTGACATTAGTAATTCGACATTAGTAATTTGACATTAGTAATTTGACATTAGTAATTTGACATTAGTAATTTGACATTAGTAATTAGATTTTAAAAAAAGCAAAAATCTGAATGAATAAAAAATTCTCGAATCTTTTGATAAATGTTTTAAAGAAAACCTTTGAAATGCAGTGTACGGCGAAGATTTTTGAATCCCTCCAGTGGAATGTAAATCATTCTGCGTAAAGTTTAAAATTGTATAAAAAAGCATTTTTTCTAACCCCTCCAGTGATAATGAATTCCCTCCGGTGGTCTCCAGTGGAGTCAAAATCTACAAACTTCCGTGAATCGCGTTTTTTTAATTTTTATTTAAAAAGTGCCCCATAGTTTCATCCTTACTACCTGTACCTTAAGGGAACAGGACAGATTTGTTTCTGATGTTTAAAGGGTAGCGTCCAACGAGGTTATAGTGTATAGAGTGATGATGTACTCAACTCCTTTACTAATTGTATAGGCCATCAACTATACCGAGAGCGTACTGCATATTTGTTTATTATAAGTTGATTCTGGCCTAACCTTTAATATATCAATATTAGTAAACAGTTGTAAGTGTACAGTACAGCTAACTGAGCACACAGGTAGGAAACTATTATCCCCCTTAGTAGCGTCATGCTGAAATGTCCATTTGAATAAAGTGTACAGTCCCTTTAAGGTGATCTGTATATAGGTGGATGGCAGTGCAGTGTAACAGCAACAAGTTTCCGATCCAAAGATGCTTTAGGAATAAAAAAATATCAAATTATTTAAAAACAGTTTGACATTGATAGAATTTATAAAATGTCGTCATCTAAACATTCTGGTGTAATGCTGCAGATATTATATTTTTTTTTAATTGAATAATGAAATGGAGCTCTTTGATTGTTTCCACATGTTGCATACATATTTATTTAAACTTACAATTATTGAGTTTTAGGTATAATATAATAAAATCCATTAAAAAATTTATAAATTAAAAATAGGTTCATGGTTAAACTGCAGATGTAAACCCTAAATAAATTCTTTACAAATGTTGAGGGAGGGACAGAAAAATTCCCAGGAAATATTTGTTTGACAAATATGAACAAAAAGCTTTTAAATTTCTACTTTATAGAGTTGATCAGAGTCTGAATTTAATGAATTTAAGCCGCGTCTCAAATCCCCCAAAAACCAGTTTCAATTGAGCTTCGGCTTAAATCTTGAAAAATGTAATACAATTTTAAGTGAAACCAACCATATTTGAGCCGCGGCTTAAATTTAAGCCCCGGCTCAAATTCTTTAAACTCGGCCTCTGACTATTTTGTTTGTTTTAAAGTACCATGTCGTAAAGTCAAAAAATGCTTAACATGCAAATTAAAGAGCTATTATGTGTAAAAAAAATGATAAATTAATAAACTAAAATTTAAGACACTTCACTTTATATTTCTTAGTATGCTTTTTCAACAACTATATATTTATTTTCTTATTTCTTAAAATGATATGTTTTTAATGTCTGAAAAGTATAAATTCTTTCAGGAAACTTTTTCAAGTTTAGATCAAAGTTCCATTTTCTTAATAACATACTTTTTACATCTAACTTTTTCAATCTTGAAACTTTTAAAAAGTTTATTAATCATATTTACACAAAGTGTCAAACAATAGCTCTAGATTTTTATCTTTCTCTCCTGACAAAATTATTTTAAAATTTATCAATTCGATAATCAAAAACCTTTAATCTGCAAGGTGTTTAATTTAAAATTAAAATTTGCTATTGTTATGTTTCTATAAAGTGTAAATCCTTCCTGAAAAAATTGGTTGTAAATCTAGTCATGTAATGAACATCAGAAATTGAGATGTTTATTCACAATTCCCCCCACCCCACTCTCCCCCCTTCCTTGAGTTTTAACTTATAAAGATAATTTGATATGATTTAGTGTCAGACGAAGTCTTCTTGACGATTAACTTTTTAACAAAATTAAGCATATCTTATATGCAATTAGTTTTTTCATAGAGCTTATCTTTTTTATTAAAATCTTGATGATTAACTGAGCAAGTTCTATGGAATTTGTTACATTACTTAATTGCTCTATTCTATGTTGACTGGATTGTCTAACATCTAACTTGAATCTTCCGATTCCACAGTTTTTAAGTCTCACTGTATTACTTTTTAATTTTATAAACAAATTTTGTTCTTTGTGTACGATAACTTGGAATATGATGTTTTTTTTACAACTATTTCAAATTTTATTTTTATAAAACTAAACAGCATTTTAAAGTAGAATTTCAGAACTAAATCAACCTATAATGCAATAATAGAAATATCTAACTTTTTTGTATCAATTCAACAACTTTTTTGGTATTTTGATTTTGGATTTTTATGGATTTAAGGTGGGTGAGAATTGCCCCCCCACCCCCTCCCAATCTCCCTCACAAAGTGCCCTGGAGTGTACTTAGTAAGAGTAAACATTTGAGTTATCATCAAACTTAATGAAATTCAAGGGATTTAACAAACTAACTAGAAAATCAACAAATAAAATTTAGAGAAAAAGGTGAGAAGAAGAAAAATAAGATGAAAAGATTAACTGAAGGATGAATATTGAATAAGAAAAGGATGAATATTGAATAATGAAAGGATGACAAGATTAACTTAAGGATGAATATTGAATAAGGAAAGGATGAATATTAAATAATGAAAGAATGAATATTGAATAATGAAAGGATGACTATTAAATAATGAAAGAATGAATATTGAATAATGAAAGGATGAATATTGAATAATGAAAGGATAAATATTGAATAATGAAAGGATGAAAAGATTAACTGAAGGATGAATATTTAATAATAAAAGGATGAATATTGATTAATGAAAGGATGAATATTGAATAATAAAAGGATGACTATTAAATAATGAAAGGATGAATATTGAATAATGAAAGGATGAATATTGAATAATGAAAGGATTAATATTGAATAATGAAAGGATGAAAAGATTAACTGAAGGATGAATATTTAATAAGGAAAGGATAAATATTTAATAATGAAAGGAAGAATATTGAATAAGGAAAGGATGAATATTTAATAATAAAAGGATGAATATTGAATAGTGAAAGGATGAATATTGATTAATGAAAGAATTAATATTGAATAATGAAAGAATGATTATGGAATAATAAAAGATTTAATATTGAATAATAGGATGATGAATATTGAATAATAAAAAGATGAATATTAAAATAGTGAAAGGATGATCAAATGAAATTATGATTTAATAGAATGCTGATTAAATCAAAGGAAATTAATTGAAAGATGACAAATAAAAAAAAATGAAAAGATGGTTCACATTTTCGTCGGTTTTAGGCTTTTTATATTGGACCACTTCCATCAGTCGAGGGGTTAAGGGCCCTTACATGGATAAAATTACGATTTAATNCCCAACCTTAAAGCTTATTAATACTCATTTTAAGATTAATTAAAATTGAAAAAAATATGTGAATCAAATAAATTGTAAATACAGTAAATACAAAAGTTTTATGATATTTTGCTATTTTCCGACAAAATAACAATTTATACTCTGCTGAATATTTTAATAAAATTCCACTGTGAGATAAATTATTAATATTACATACAAAACTATTCTTAGCAAAATCTTATCAAATCTATTCAAACAAATTTAATATCAAACTTTGAGAAAACATTTTAGACTATCAAAATCTATCTATATATATATCTTTCTATCTATATACCTAAGTATATATCTACGTCTATATACGTCTATACATCTATCTATCTATCTATTAGTCCGACGACCTCCAACTAGTGTGATATTAAGACAAGGAGATAGTAAACTGTCTGGTCATGTGCAGGTACATTAAATATATCTTTAAAGGGACTGTCATTGTAATTTCAAGTGAGGCTCCATTTAAAGATGGATTCATCCGATTTACAATAATTTATCTTTTATCATAGTTTTACAAGGCAGTTGTCACTGTAAAATTATTCCTACACAGTACAGACCCTTTAAATGAACTGGTAAAATAAATTCAAGCAAACTTTCTCTTGTGTTGGAAAGTGTTAAATTCTGATAATTTCACCATTGTTTCTAAAACGAAACAAACAGTTTTAAACAAAAATACGGATATTCGATCAAAGAAGTAGTTTCTTCTTATTTGCTATAGTTATAAATGTGTGATGCAGTGCTATATGTCTCTATAATTAATATATAAGTTTAGTTAATTTAGTAAAAAATATGAAAATATATTTTTTTAACCAAAGAACTTTTATCAAAATATAATTTATGTTTTGTGATGGTAGGTGGGTGAGGAAGTGAATGAAACAATATCGTGTGCGGGAGAAGGTGGGGAGCCCCCTCCAACCCTATCCTGGAAATTGCCTAAATCAATCAATCAATATTCTGTTTACGAAGCTGAAGGATCTAGTCTACTCACAGGTAAACCTGCAGGAGAGAAACATATTTATATATTTTAGTCGTTATAAAGCAAATTGTTTTACTAGGGAGCTTAAAAATAAAAGGGTCTGTGTACACTGCACTATTTCTATGTTTCATGTTTATTGGACTATTTAAAACCAAAACTGGCAATCCTATCCTTTTTGTCGTCCGCTAATCCACCACTGGGGACGGGGAGAGGGGGGGGGATGAGAAACGTCCTCCCCTCCCAGTCGCAAAAGTGTTAATTGAATAAATTTACTGAATGTTTCCTTTTTCTCCTTGTTTATCATTCGTTAATCTACCCAGATCCAGTTACTGAGTATAGTCAAAGCTTTAATTTAGATATATAGAAAGATAGATATATAAAAGGATAGATAGATAGAAAGATAGCGCCCATCTTCTATTTTTATTGTGAACATTTTCTCTTTGAAAACATCGTTGTTGTCGGATAGGAACAAGATTCTCAATAATGAACAGATAGACAACGGAATAACCCTCAAATCAAAACCGATAATGCAGAAAACTCTTTATTTCCTAAAAAAANAGCTACACTAGCTGTGCATGTACAGTGTAAGTATATAAATGTACATTGCATATGCAACCTATACTAGCTACACTAGCTGAACATGTACAGTGTAAGTATATATATGTACAGTATATATTCAACCTATACTAGCCATACTAGCTGTACATGTACAGTGTAAGTATATATATGTACAGCTATATTCAACCTAAACTAGCTAAATTGGCATACATGTACAGTGTAAGTATACAAATGCACATTGTATATGCAACCTATACTAACTACACTAGCTGTACATGTACAGTGTAAGAATACAAATGTACATTGTACGGATAAAATGTACAGTCTAAGTACATAGTGTACAGTGTAAGTGTAAATGTACATTGTAAGCGTATTATATAAAGTGTAAGTATATAATTTACAGTGTAAGTATATAATGTACAATTTAAGTATATAAAGTACAGTGTAAAAATATAATGTACAGTTTAAGTATATATATATTCTTAAAATAAGCCTATAACATTTTCTATTGTTTTGTTTATATATATGCATTTTCAACCTATATTAGCTAAAACAGCTGTACATGGAGAATCTAAGTTTATAATGTACAGCGTAAAGCCAATCAATACTAGCTACACTAGATGTAAATGTACAGTGTAAGTATATATATTAACATTGTATATATAACCTACACTAGCTACACTAGTTGTAGATGTACAGTGGAAGTTTATAATGTACAGTGTATATTCAATCAATACTAGCTACACTAGATGTAAATGTACAGTTTAAAGATATATATTAGCATTGTATATTTAACCTACACTAGCTACACTAGTTGTACATGTACAGTGGAAGTTTATAATGTACAGTGTATATTCAATCAATACTAGCTACACTAGATGTACATGTACAGTTTAAGGATATATATTAACATTGTATATAGAACCTACACTAGCTACACTAGTTGTACATGTACTGTGGAAGTTTATAATGTACAGTGTATATTCAATCAATACTAGCTACACTAGATGTACATGTACAGTGTAAGTATGTATATACAGGCCACAGGATGTCTCTGAAAAAAGTGTGTTTAGGCTTTTAGTCATCATTTAAATGGGCTAAAAAGTGCTTCTGGTAAGTACAATGTCCACAAATGGGGGGGGGGGCGTTGATTTAACATTTTTCTCTAAAATGCTGTGTTAACTTTTAAAAGCAGACCTAATATGCTAAAATGTGCTCGGTCTCCTTTTCAAAGGTTTAAAGAAAATGGAATTATAATTGTACTTTTACGTTTTATACGACAGAATAAAATAAATTCCACATTTTCAATGTTAGAATTGAGAATTTTCAAAACTAAAAAAATGAGACCGAGCACATTTTCGAATATTATACCAAATGTCGAAGAACGGCATTTTAAAAATTTTTAACACAAAACAATGATGTTTAGTACGCTTAATAGCCTAAATACACCTTTTTTTCGGAGACACCTTGTATATTTAGTTATATTCAACTTACAACAGCTACAGCATATATTTAACCTTTACTAGTACATATATCTAGAAAAGGTTCTGTATGTTTTATCAAAATATCCTATTCCTAGAAGTATATCAATGTATTGTATTATCCATATTAGTGTAAATATTTCTGTCTGGTGATTGTATGTTTATATGTCAATTATGTCCATTTATAAATAAATATATTCAGATGTATATATCTTAACCTTTACTCTCAATACTCTTTATTATCATTATATCAAAGATATATTTATTTTTTCTTACAAGCCAGAGAATCAAGCGGAAGAGAATTGATTACTCTTCTCCGTTCTAATGTTTTAAATCTAATCTATGTATTTGGAATCTAATGATGTACATCAGTGATATTCAAAACCTTGAATATTTTATGTCAGAAATCATAATTTGAAATATGAGAGGTCTACCACATCAGGTTTTAGATATATTTTTAATCTATTTAGATATCCCAAGTATAAGTATATAGTTTAATCTATTTAGATATCCCAAGTATAAGTATATAGTTTAATCTATTTAGATATCCCAAGTATAAGTATAGAGTTTGAGAAAAACTTTACAAAAATTAAACCTGCAGGACCTGGATATAAAATAACAGCACAGGAACAAATACATTTAATTCATATTTTGTTATTAATCTCAATGCATAGAATTTGTTAACTTTAGAAAAGTCCTGTCTAGTATAGTGTTGCAGACAAAATTCTGATCGAAAAATCGACTTTTGTCCGGCTACAGTTGTCTTTAAAAATACAGATTTACAGCTGATAGGCTGCTTAGTTTAACATGAAATTAACAAAATAAGTATACGGGTCATCTTTCAAACTTTCATATTTCGAAAGTTGATTATCGAATACACCAGTAGTCAAAGTTTTAAATATCAGAGGTCTACGGTATCAGGTTGCAAAGATTTGTAAGTTAGAATGTGGCTAGTATTCATTTACTTTGTAAACGATAACAACCTATAAGTCCAAATTTAAACTTGTAAATTTGAATTTCTATATGCATGGCCAATACTATATTCTCCAAAGATTAGGTTAGAACCCTAAGTGTATTGTAAAACTGTGTCCACTGACCATGGAAAATGATAAATGGCAGATTTTCAGTTTTGTCGTGGATTTCCTTGAATTAATAATAAATTGAATTTTGTATGACAAGTGCTTCAGCATTTACCATCATCATTCATTTTAACTTTGAGGTTTAAATTCAATATTTCTTTAAGCTTTTGAATATTTATCATATATTCAAATTTATAACATTACTGCCACATACGCCCAAAGTTCCACTGGCCATAGGAGGCACACCGGAAACATACTCTCTCCCTTTTATACAAATAGCCTCCTAGTGTTTAGTGCATGCACAAGTTTAGTATTGTTTTTAAACCTTTCAATCATAAACTAAACGATTCAAGCAGTAAGGAATTGAGTCTTTGCCACAAACTCAAATTTTCTCATTCCTTTATCTTTGTAACCTAATGATGTAAGCCTGTGATATTTCAAAATTAGATTACTTCTTCTACCAGAATTCGTAGTTTGAAATACCTAATGTCTATGACGTTGGGTTGCGAAGATAAAAGGGTTAGACAATCATAATTTGTGGCAAAAATTCATTTCCTTTACCCTTTAGCTCCATTTATAGAGCATAAAGGATTAAATTTGGAGAAAAATGTCTAAAAAAGGTCGGATAAATATTTACAAATAAGTTTTTTGTTCTGTTTTTGACACGTATTAAGAAGTGACACATGCTTTTGTAAAAAATCCTTTAGCATACTTCTCCTTAAGAGTAAAAACATGTCAAGGTGATAGTGTTAAAAATGAGAGTGTTAAGGCAAACAAACTAGAAGGGGGGCCAGACTCCCTCCCCCCCCCTCAGCCTGAGAGTAAGCTGCAAGTATAAAAAGAATACTAACTAGAGGTTTGTGTGCTGCAGGGCTTGAAACAATTAATTAAAATTTATGTTGCGGACACATTTATCATATCACTGAGGTTTAAAACATTCAGCTTGTCTAGTTCTAGGTTATGTGGCATCAACTAAGAGAGGAGGGGGACGCACATGCCCCCCCCCCTGCAATGTTTATGAGTGTATATTTCTTAAATCCTATTCATAAAATATTTTCGACTTTATTCTAGAAATTAGAATAAAAACACGAAAAAGATAAGAAATCGTTTTAAAGTATACAATTTTACAATTTTAGAAAATGGTTTTGGAATCAAATTTTACAAAATTAAAGTCTTGATAGAAAACTTTTAAAAATATAGTTTATTACATTCAATAATTAAACAAAATGATCAACGTAATTATATATAACTCAAATTTGACATTTAACGTGATTTCAAGTGACCTTCCATAAAGTGGCATGTCCGATTTACAATGATACCCTTTAAACAGTTGCTTGATTAAGGATTTTATAGATATTTTTATTTATATAACGAGAAATTGGAAACGGCTGTGAATACCTACAGAATAGCACCGAGAGAAATTAAGCGCTAAACAAACCGCGGGAGTGTACAGTACACTGTACCTCGACTTCAGCTTTACAAATGAGGGCATCCACCTCATCGTTGTCCGATAAAGGTTTAAAGGGTACCGTTGTAAATCGGACATGGCTCTCTATAAATGGAAGATCACTTGAAATTACGCTTACAGTCCCTTTAGGTTTTCTTCTCTTACAGCTTATAATATATTCCGAACCCTAGCCTGGTTTGAATGTTTATATGGTTTCAAGTAAATTTCAAAATTAAAATTTATCTCTAATCTTATTAAAAAAATAAAAGTATTGTCATATATAGATTTCTTTGTACACATCACATCCTACCAGAGTAACAATTGTCTGTACACAATTAAAAACAACATTTACTTATTGCGTCAGCAAAATTATAAGGGAATGCAATCATTTATGTTCGATATAAATTTATCCCATTTAAGCTTTTATTAGATCAAAGCTGAATGAGATATACTTGTATTCCCATCATAGAGTTTTATATTTTCAATTGTGGTTTCTTTTTTAAACGTAATCTGCGGATTTATGCATCATGGACAATCAATCAAAATTCCAGAATTTTACCTTTTTTGAAGAATAACAACGATATCGTTAATCAGATAAAGGATCAAATGACACCGTTCTTGATTAGACTCGCAACTCTATATAAAACAATATAAATGTATGGTCACAAAATAATAAATAAGTTCAAAATCTTGTCAAAAAGTGAGAAAAAAATATTATTTCAAAATTAATTCTTTTGAGATTATCAATTGTAACAACAGATCAAAATTAACTTTTAAAAAAATAAGGCTTAATGTGGATTTTTTGTGCTAAGCAATGTAAATATCCTACATGAACCAAGCAACAAAAACTGTAATATAATCAATATTATGGAACAAAAATTTTCATTGATTTCACTAAATTTAATTCCAAAGAATTTTTATTATGAATTACATGTATACATCATTTTAATCAACTTTTGAAATGAAATTTTGGGTTAAAGTGTAAAAATATAAGTTTAAAAGCCTTTTTTCAAAATTATTATGTAGCGGACAGAAATACTTTCTTCAAATACGAAAAATGTAAAATCTGGAAAAATTCTTAAACCTTTTCCGGTTGAAGGGGGGGGGGGTTCCTTCAACCCCCCTTGGCGTTTTTTGGAGATAACTCATAATTATCACATGACCCTCACTTTTAGATTGAAGCGGGGCTTTTATACCAACTGCCTGAGTCCACAGGCATACTGCATGAATGCCTTGTTTTACCTTCACACGACTAAAGCTATATTTAGACCCACTTCCTGTCATTGAATTTCGACTTTTTTTAGCTCTTTGAATAGCCTTTAACAAAAGGAAGCAGATTGCACCCTTTTTTCTTAGAAATTTTGCATAGATTTTTGCAAAGATGCATGTAAAGAGAAATAGCAAGTTTTCAGTTTTTCTTGAATGTTTTTTGGAGATTGGATTGGATTTCGACTTTTTACAGCTCTTTGAATAACCTTTAACACAAGGAAGGAGATTCTATTCTAAAAATCTATGCAGAAATTCTGCATAGATTTTTACTCAAATGCATGTAAAGAGAAATAGCAAATTTTCAGTTTTTCTTGAATAAGAATTTAATTCTAGAAAACTTTGCAAATATTTTTGCTTATTTGGATTTTCACAAATGTATAATTTTGGGTAAACCAGACGTCAGCCTGTATAGGGTTAAATATTTTTTAGGTGATTTGGAGAAAGGAGAGTACAATGGGAGAATGGAAAAGAGGTAACTATGGAAATTAAATCATCAAAAAAATGTAATGGATTTTTTTCCAAACTCATTTTCTGATAATCGTCGTTTTTCTTTAAGAAAAAGGAAAGTGTCAAATTTTACAATTTAATCAGTTTTTTTTGCAGAATAATTCTGCAACCCAATAATATAGAAAAAACTAAATAAAACTCAGTTTTTATGAAAAGCAAGGATATCCCATTCTTACCCTTGTTTAGACAATGAACAAAGGGAAAAATTACAAATTGGCCTTACAAGAAAATAGACACAAGAATTTACATGTTCAGTCCCTTTAAAATGTGTTCATATGAAGGCCCTGGACATTTTCCCCTCACTATCCTATATCCCAAAATAGAGAAGAAGAATTTTTATATTCCACAATTTATATTCATGAATAAAATAAAATGATCCTTATCCTTTATTCAGTTCAATTGCTTTGGGTGGAATTTGTAATAATCTTTAAGTCCATGAGAATATCTGAGAGCATTTAAATATAAATAAATTATTTTCATGTTTCAAACTTTAAACCTTTTGTTTTGAAGGAGAAGAAATTGTGTTTAAACGAATATCAAAAGATGACCGGGGAATATATTCATGTCTAGCACAAAACCAGGTATAGAAGATGACCGGAGAATATATTCTTGTCTAGCACAAAACCAGTAATAGAAGATGACTGGGGAATATATTCTTGTCTAGCACAAAACCATGTATAAAAGATGACTAATCCTTTTGTCCTTGTCCTTTTTTCTTATCATTTTATCCTTGTCCTTGCTTTGTGCCTCTATTCTTTTGCTTATCTTGTCCTAGTCCTTGTCCTTGTTCTTGTCCTTGTCCTTGTTTTTGTCATTTTCCACTTGTTTTTTTCTTGTCCTTGTTTTTTCCCTTGTCATTGTTTTTGACCTTATCCTTGTCCATTTTCTTGTTCTTGTTCTTATCTTTGTCTTTTCCTTGTCCTTGTTTTATCCTTATCATTATCCTAATCCTTTTGTCATTGTCCTTTATACTTAGCCTTTTGTCCTTGTAGTTGTCTTTATCCTTGCCATTGTCTTGGCCGTGTCGATGTCCTTGTACATGTACTTGTAATATTACTTTGTCTTGTCCTTGTCCTTGTTTTTGTCCTTGTTCTTGGCCTTGACCTTTTCATTTTCCTCGCCCTTTTCCTTGTCCTTGTCCTTGTCCTTGTCCTTGACCTTTTCCTTGTTCTTGTCTTTGTCATGTCTTTTTCTTGATCTTTGTTCAGGTCTTTTTGCTTGTCCTTGTCCCTGTCCTTGTCCTTGTAATTGACCTTGTCCTTGTCTTTGTCATTGTCCTTTTCCTTGTCATTTTCCTTGTCCTTGTCATTGTTCTTATCTTTTCCTTGTCTTTGTCCTTGTCCTTGGCCCTATCATTGTCCTTTTCCTTGTACTTGTCCTTTTTCTTGTCCTAGTCCTTGTAATTGTCTTTATCTTTGTCTTGTTCTTGTCCTTGTTGTGGCCCTTGTCCTTATCCATATCCTTATCATTATCCTAGTTCTTCATTTGATCCATTGTCAGTGTACTTTTCCTTATCTTCCTAACCTAACCTTGTCTTGGCCTTGTACTTTTTTGCCATTGCTTTAGACCTCAAGTAGTTTGGCAGGCAAATATGCCTGTTTGAAAACTTGAAACTGAATAAGATTATTGCAAAAGCGACATTTTAATCTTTCTGATTTGTTTAGTTAGGAGTGACGGGGCCTAATATTATACAACTAGATGTTCAGTGTAAGTTTATTTTAAAATTTTTAAAATCAATTTTTATTGTAGTTGAATTCGAAACTATAATATTGTTAATCCCAGGAAAAATCACTGATCCATGTGCTTTGTGATTTGTCGGATAAAGATATTTAAAAGCTTTCACTGTGGATATGGAGATCAGCCCGAGTCCAGTGATCTGCGCTTTCTTGTTCCTTTCTCTTTATCTAGATCTATGTATAAAAATGGATATATATTATATATAGCTATATAGATCATCACAACATGGCATCAACTATATCCAGATCTGGCTTTAGAGTTTGATATATCTATCTATAATCTATATTAAGTTGTATCCTCGTCTGCTATATCTAGAGCCATAGTTGGATATATTTATAATTATTTATATTTAGATCCTTCCACCCTTGTATCCACTTCACCCTCTGCAGTAGCTAGAGCTAGAACTAGATATATTTATCTTTATTTAGATCCTCCCACCCTTGTATCCACTTCACCCTCTGCAGTAGCTAGAGCTAGAACTAGATATATTTATCTATATTTAGATCCCCCCACCCTTGTATCCACTTCACCCTCTGCAGTAGCTAGAGCTAGAACTAGATANCCGTTTTACACAACCAGCTCCATTTTTAAGTTCGTAATTAAACACTTATTTTTTAATCAAATTTATAAGTAAAAAATCAATTAATCAATTCATAACTATTTGCTCAATAAATTTTTCAATCTCTATTTTATAACTAATTGATCAAATATTTAAAAATCTATTTTCTGACTAACCAATCAATTAATTAGGAGATGGCAATCCCGCCCCTCTATATCAATGGTCTCATAATCTCAACGGACAGGTATTATATACAAAATTGTACCAACAAACATAGTCATCGATTATCTTTCGCCTCATTTTTATATAGTTTATATTTTATAATATTTTTCAATTAATTTGTTTTGAATTTGATTATTTTTCTTGTTGCTTGCGCAACTATCTAAGAATGCTGCGCACCAATCACATTTTTCAAAATCCTTTAAAACGTTTGTTAAAAAAATAAAATACTATAAAATATACACTATATACATATGTGGCGAAAGATAATCGATGACTATAGATTGTAATATCTGAATGATTTGTTTGAAATTAAATTGATTTTTTACGGTCTAAGTCGTGTTGCTATTTACTCAATTTGTATGGGCGCTAAGTTATTCGGTATGAGTCGTCTTTAACAATTTTCTCCTTATAGACGCAACAGATAGAAGTAAGATTAGCAGCGATCAAAAGCGCTTTTTTATCGCATTAAGCCTATACCCCATTTCTTTTTTCGCGAACACTCCCTTTAAAAAGAAATTGTTTTAGCAAATTGCCAAATCCTAAACAGACTGGGGGTGTGTTAAAAAAATTAAAGACGATATTTTCCACATTATTGGTATGATGAAGGTCTAGAGGGTACCGTTGTAAATTATACATTTTAAATAAAAAAGAAAAGTGCATCTTACTAAATTCTTTATAATGCAACAAAATCCACTTTTTTGTCTTTTATCTGTAAAATAATGATTATTTCTATTCAGAGAAAAATACGAGGAAATGAGAGATCCTTAAATATTTATAATATCAGGAATATTTTTTGTAATATATATCAAATTTGAAGTACATTTATTGATTATTTACAAACAAATATTTTGATTGATATCATAGTTTTATTTCTATTGTTATTAATCATTTAATATTGTAATAATAAAGAAAATTATATTTCTAGTCTTGTAAAAAATACACCAGCCCCCCCCTCTCAGCAGAATTTGTTTTATTTCAATGACTTTAACACCGGCATGATGGATATTCAAAATGCATTGACTTTTGTTTGGACAAAATTTTCCTTATTAAAAAGCAATTAAAATCTATTAATCTTGAGTTAAAGTATTCTAATTTTAATTAATATATATCTACTACATAGTTTATAAAGCAGAACTCTTTTTACAGCTTTTTTATTTCATTACTTTCTATCCAGAATAAAATGTGGAATGTAGATGTCAATTCCTTCACTTTACTCTCCCCCGAGAAATCAAATAATAACAGTAAAATATAAATTGCAAAAAGTTAATTTTTTGCACTGAAGAATGGCAGTAGAAGGTCGAGTAAATATATTGGGTTAAGAAAACCAATGAAAGAAAGGAATTTGCTAAACTTTATGATACTGCAGTTTCAACAGTAAGAAAATAAAATGAGTATTTGACTCAGATTCTAATTTTCAAATTTTTTAACCGGATGTTGTACCTTTGTCTCTTTGCCACAAACAAAAAATTTATAATCTCTATATTTATTGGTACCTTCTGGTTTAGACCTTTTATATTTTAAACTTAAACTATTTGATCTACCAGAATTCATTGCTAGAAATATCTAACGTCTACAACATTGGGTTGCAAAGACGGATTAGAAATCAGAGTTTGTGGCTAACACTCATTTAATCAAAAAGTAAAAACTTGAAAATCAGGTTGTAAAGATTGTGATTTGAGGTGAGCATTTCTTTATCCAATATTTAAACATTTCAAAAAAATTGATTTTTCAATTTTTCAATTTTTAAAATACGAATTATACTGATTAAAGTTGGTCGGACACCGGAGACTATATTTGTACTGCTTCAAACTCAATAGGTTAGTTCACATAATTTTCAGGATAAAATCTTTTTTAAACTTGGTAAAATCATACTTTAACAACAAGTATTTCAAAAAATATTCAAGTAAAACTATTAGCTATAGCAATTTTCTTTAAAAAAATCCGAGAAAAAAGAAAAATCAGGAAATGTAACTTTTGTATATTTTTAGGTGGAGTTGAGAGACACAGTGAGTCATTACCTATTTCACTGCAAGGAACATATATAGCTTAATTTATATAGACAATAAATCAAACAATCAATGATTAATCAATCAATTGAAAAGAACTTTAAATGCAGACCACTAAATCAATTTTTATATAAAATTGATAAAAATAAATATTTCCTAAGATAAATCTTTGTAAGTTTTCTCTTGTTTAGCTTCCTTTTAACTGTTAGAGGTAATATAGATCTTGGAAATTACAAATATTTTTATGTTTTCTTACTCTGTAAACATTGGAAGCTCTACAATGCCATCTTTCATTACAGAAACCACCTTTACAGTTTTAAAATAAAAAAAACTAAAATGAAAAAACGTTAAAAAGGCTGAATTTTTCCGATTATAGATTACAGAAATAAGGTAAACAAAAGTTTAAAAGACACATTATAGATTATGAAGTTCAATGTGTGAACCTAAAAATTAAAAGTTTGAAAAACACACTATAGATTATGAAGTTCAATGTGTGAACCTAAAAATTAAAAGTTTGAACTAATAAAGGTTTACAAGTTCACAGGTTTAAAACACATTAGGAAATTAGAGTATAAGCCTTGGAGACGAGTAATCAGCTCTTTTATAGTAAATTTGTTCTAAATGATATCTTAGTTCATAATAGTTCCTGTCGCTCAGGATGTTGTAATTTGCAATTTCATTATTAAAATAAAAAGATGACGACACCAAATGTAGTGTTTTCTGATTCTCACTGTAGGAGTCCATTAAGAGAAGCTAATGTGAATGTTAGTGTACGGAAGCCCAGAAATATATTCTGATTCTGAATCTGTAGAAGCAGAATCTGGGTCTGATGTTAAGCTAGAGGTTTCATTCTGTGGACATCCTAGGTTGGACAAATATTATTAAGTGGATCTACTCTTTTTGTAATTTAAACTGAGCTCTTCATTTAAAGATGAGTAAGCCCGATTCGAACGTTAACCTTTAAGCCTATATCTTGTTAATAATAAATTTTAGACCGGGCTTGCTATCTATTCAAACAAAAAGCAAAAAAATTCCTCTTTCTTTTACTTTTAAAACTTGAAAATTAAAAACTTATAATATTAAAAACTATAAGAATATATTTAGGCCTGATGTGAAGTGGGTTTTAGGAAATCTGGTTTTATCTCCCGGTTCTAGGTACAAAAATATATATATATTCATTCTATATATACAAAAATATATATTCAAGATTATTAAATATTTGCCTTCCCCAGCAACATTACAATTAAACGCAGAACTCAAGGGCTTTAGAAACACTCTTTTTTTAAACCCTGTGAAATTAAAAAGATTGAATTTAAATGAAATTAAATATTTCTTTATTAAGTAAACCCAGCCTACTAATATTTTTGAAATAGTAAATGATGTTTATATGAAGATACATCTCTTTTAATAATGAATTATTGAGTTTTTAACAGACTTAGGCGGATAATTTTAAAATATCGTGATTTATTTTCATTTTCATGCTATATTCAATTCTAGACATGGCTAGCTGAGTGATACAAATTATCTTTTTACATAATTTATGGTTTTTTGTTATCTTCTGTATCTGTACTTCATCAGTTTAGAATTATAAAGAAATATATTTGAAATAATCTTCCCAAAAAAAGGAAAGATGAAGACTTTTGAAAATTGCGAAGTAGTTCTGTTTATTCAGCATTTTCATGGCGGAATTGAAATACAAAATTCAAATACTTGAACCAAAACATACTAAGATATGATTTCAAAACCTAAAATAACGAATCGCAAAATCTATATTTGTAAATATTTAGACATGGTCGATACATATCTGAAGTACTGCATGATATTCCTGGTTATGAATTCTGTTATAAATCCTGGGTTTATATACTTGCTGTTACAAAAGGTAAACAATTTCAACTTTTAAAATAAAATACATCCTTTCTTAACGTTTTTAAACGGTCGGTTAATTTTTCTTAAAAGTAAAAACACGTGATTCATCCAGACAGGAATGTGTTGCAATATATAAGTATAATATTTATTTAGAAGATACTGATTCATACAGTGTGTATGTAGAGAACCAACATGGCCTAGATTCAGCTGCACTTAGCCTTCAAATTCAAGGTGGGGAAAAAAAAAAAAAAAAATTCTATTTTAATATTCTAACTTCATGTCGAATTGCTATAAAACCGCAGATAAAATTTTCCTCTCCTGGACTGTAAGCGTAAGTTTAAGTGACCCTCTATGCAAAAGTAAAAATAAACAATTCGCAATGGTTCCCTTTGAAGGATCAAGTATTAAGGTTTATAATTTGAAAACTTATTATACACTTTCAATTGTGATTTTTAGTTTTTGGGACAGCCATACAGCTAAACAAAATAGTTCTTTTAATTTAGAGTATCCAATATGATGTCAAAATTAACTATTTTTGGGACACCCATACAGCTGAACAAAATAGTTCTTTTAATTTAGAGTATCCAATATGATGTCAAAATTAACTATTTTTGATTTTAGAACAATTTGTTTCCTTTTTTGCATACTAACATTTTTTTACCAAACATTGCACTTTGTGATTTGCACATTTTCCACAAGATAACATAAGGAAAAAATACTGGAAAAATGTCCTTCTAGAGACTGATTACCTCCTTGCTATTGTGTGTGGGGTTGTAGCTGGATCTCTTCTCCTTGTTCTCCTTCTTTTTCTTCTTCTTCATCTTCGTAAACCCTGCAGTTCCTGGAGTAGTCATCCGCATACTGAAATTGCAAGGTAAACATTTCAAAATTTGTGTT